ATTTTAGTTGAAATCATGATTTTTTTCAGGATTCTTTGATCATTAGATCATTCTTTGATCAAAAAAATTCAAAAGAACAGCATTCATTTAAAATAGAAATCTTTTGTAACATCGTAAATATCTTTGCTGTCACTTTTCATCAATTAAATACATCCTTGAAATTAAAAGTATTAATTTCTTAAAGGTGACATATCATGAAAATCTGACTTTTCCAGGTTTTAAGTGCTATAATCAGGTCCCTGGTGCATCTACCAACCAAGGAAACGTGAAAAAGATTAACCCAATCACTTTGTTTTGGGAAGCCTTTTTCTGCAAGCCTCTGAGAAAACGAGCGCGTCTGATTTCGCTCCCTTGGTGACGTGGCAAAGGGATCTCATTATAATATTACCACCCCTTAATCTGTAAGAGTTTCCACCCACGGCGCCCGTCATTTTGATTTCGCACGCGACAACGGTGTACCAGTTCTAATGCCAAGGCGAAAGTTTGAGCAAAACATGCTAACTGTTCTGTCTTTGGCTGCACAGACGAGCACAGAACACTATTTAGAGTCCCAGCCTCAGAGGAGACAACAGAGCAGTGGATTTATTGATTTATTTAGGCTACTGTATATTGCTGCTGCCACACAGATCTAAAATAAACAAGCGATTTATTTCCCAGCGGTTTACCTTCACAGACATAACCGACTGTTTTTGTAACTCGTGTGTTTTTAACTTAAACGTAGTACTCACATGCGGTGACAGCAGTTTTCTGTGTGCTTCGGATGTGTGCGCTCAGAAAACCTTATATCTGAAGTTTAAACTCATATGGTTTAAAACGCATGATTTCAGCACGATAAACATGATAATAGAACCAAAACAGATGTTTTAGCAGATACGAGCTGAAATGGCACAGCTCTATCTGGAAAAGGGGGCGGGGAGCAGCAGCTCATTTGCATTTAAAGAGACAGGCCCGAAAAACAGCGAGTTTCTGCTTCCACTCAAAATAGGCATTTTCAAAATGATATAATAAATGATCTGTGGAGTATTTTGAGCTGAAACTTCACAGACACATTCTGGGGACACCAGAGACTTATATTACATATTGTAAAAAGGGGCATATGTCACCTTTAAAACAAAAAATTTTACAGACCCCAAATTTACTGTCCTTCCCTCCAGCCTGTCAAATGTCTCCATAAAAAAAAAAAAAGGTTGATACAGTCTTAACAGAGGCTGAAATTATGTCTTGAAATGTCATTTTAACACATACTGCATATTCAAAGAACGTCAATTGATCATTTCAATAACAAGCAGTCAATTCATCATGATATGATTATTATAAACATATAACAAGATGTTGTCCCTCTAATGTCCATTTCTCAATACGAATGCATTGATTCTGTTTATGGCCTTTTGTGTTTCTTTCTAGCGTTTTCATTAGAACTAAGTGGAAAGGTACTAATGTTAATGTTTATTTACTCTCTTCAGTGCAGTTCTGTCCTCCCACTTGTTCGGAGAAACAATGAATCTGCTAGGAAAACTTGGCTGCATGCTCAGCATACTGGGAAGTACTATAATGGTTATACATGCACCTGAAGAGGAAGAGGTGACGATGCTTACAGAAATGACAGAAAAACTGCTGGATCCTGGTTAGTGTTTAGATACAGTTAGTTATAGAACCGAAAATATGTTGTAATGGATAACAACAGCCTTTTCTGCATCTCCTGAAGGTTTTCTGGTGTTTGCCAGCATCCTGCTGGTCACTTGTATGGTCCTGATCTTCTACGTCTCTCCTCGCTTCGGTCAAACCAACATATTAGTCTACATCAGCATCTGCTCTCTGCTCGGATCGTTCACCGTGTCCTCGGTCAAGGGCCTCGGCATTGCGATCCGCACCATGTTCTCTGACCTTTCAGTGGTCCGTCACCCTCTCACTTGGATTCTTTTTCTGACCCTAATTGGATCCATCATCATCCAGGTCAACTATCTGAATAAGTCGCTGGATACCTTCAATACACTCTTGGTGTACCCCATCTACTACGTCTTCTTCACCACTGTAGTCCTGAGCACCTCCGTGATTCTCTTTAAAGAATGGGGAGCCATGTCAGGAGTGGATATGGTGGGCACCATCGGGGGCTTCTTGGTGATTGTGATCGGGGTGAGCATGTTACACCTCTTCAAAGATTTGAACGTGTGTTTTGAAGATCTAAGAAGCAACCTTTGTCAGCCAGAAAGCCCCTCGAAGAGGGAGGACAAGCATATCCTCATAGAGAACATAGAGAGCCTACCGCCCATGAGAGAGGAAGGGCCCAGAGTCTTCATCATCAGCTGAGATTGTATTAGATCTCAGCGAGTTTGACTATACAGTTTAGTAATATCCTCACTCTTAATCTTAATTGTTGATTTCACTGCTGAAGGCTGTTGTACTATGACGCAGCGATTTGGATTGGCTGCTGCTGAGTACGGTGATGACGCAGATATTATTTTTTTTGAAAATATTATTTAGCTGTTACTAAAGATTTGAAAATAACTTTTAGCAACCTCGGAAATGTTTAAAGACTGAAACAGCATTAAACAGAAAATGACGCAGCAGAACTTCAAATTTTGCTGCTGAGAACTGCCAATGAAGCATGTAATATACAATTTTTTTTTTTCCCCCTCATGGATGGAACTGTGTGAGTGATCTTGAAATAGACCAGTGAATCTAAAATATTTACATAAATTTTGAATGGAAAATAAAGATTAAATGTTTCATATTTCACAGGAAATGTATTGTTGTTTGTCTAGAAAAGTTCATGTTGTTGTTTTTCACATACTATCAGATGATTTACAGACATCCCACCCTCTGTGCCCCCCCTCCAATTTATGAGAATATATAATGCTTACAGTACATTAATTATATTATATTATATTATATTATATTATATTATATTAAAGCCTGTTCATTTGTGTAAGCCATGTAATGTCACAGATTTTTGGCAAATCAGAAGACAAGTGGTCATATGAATTACATATGAAACGCATGTAAGTACCGGTAAGGTGTCTTGCTTGACCACTTGTGAACAGATCACCTAAACAGACTTTTTTCGCTTAATTTCCAGGATATTGTGAATCATTTGCAGGCATTAGGAAGCTGCAATCCATATAGAGACAAAAATGCCTGAATTTACCAGATTGCTGATTCATACATAATGCTTATATTGACCAAACAAGATTCGTGATTATATTTGAATCTGTGCTGTCAGGATTCCACAGAAAGTTCAGCCCCAGTCCTCGTGTGAGGGTTTATTTAATGTTTTATATAATTTGCTAATGCTTTCAGTTGCTTCTACCATAAAGCAGGAGGCCTATCACGCTCAGCGACTGACGTTCCGCAGATTTGGAAGCAATCTCTGAATGGAAGGTTATTTGAGTCTGTGTGGCCAGAGAAGTGTTCCTGTAAACCGGATAGCTCCAAACGTCACGACAGACAAGTATTTCACAAAGACTGTATTTACCTTTTAAATCACTGACCAGAAGAGCACTGGGTCAAATGACTCTGTCAATACAACTTGTAGCCTGTGTGACAGTTGGCGGCGTCTGTTTCTTTCGTTACATTTGGGTTCATCAGAAAATATCAGTCTTTAGGGCAGTGATTTTTACGTTTTATTCATTTATTTTTATTATTATTATTATTATTATATTTTTAAGACCTCTCCGCCAATGATCACTGTAAAATGTTTGTATTTAACATTACAATAGCATTTCTTTGAGAAAACCGAGTCATATGCATAAAAGTAGCTACATTTGCGTGACAGAATTTAAAGTTTATCCAAAGTGTTATATATATATAAAGTTACAAAACGTTAAAACCGTGTGTTTAAAAGTAATCTATGCAGGATTTTTCACAGTTTGTTCTAATATTCAGATTTCCTACCTGATCTCCCATAGTTCATTGCAAGAACAGCAGCCCATAGTTCAAAATCGTCTTTTTCAGTTGCACCAGCAGATGTCACACTCCACACACCAGTCAGACCCACGTTCCCCAGGCATACAGGTCTCAAAACTGCCTAAACAACCAATTAAAAATCTCTCAGAGCTTTGCATAGGTGTGCCTGAAAGAGCTGTAATTCAAAGGGGCTTAAATCCTAAATATTTAGAACACATTCAGAACTTTTGAATCAATTAACAAATACATTTAAACACTTGAAACAAATGGCTGCTGAAAATTCAGCTTTGATATCACAGGAATAAATTACATTTTAAAATATATTCAAATAGAAATTAGTTATTTTAAATTGTAATAATATTTCACAATATTACTGTTTTTACTGTATTTTTAATCTGATTTGGTGATTATAAGATACTTCTTTATTTCAAAACCATTAAAGAAACAGAAACGCTTAATATTAAATCATGATATATGATAATGGCATATTTGTTGTTGTTAAATTATTGTGACACTATGGTTTTCAAACTTTAGTGGAAAGCCGTAAGGTGTCATAAATCCTTGCAACACCAGTTGGTTACAAGAAATCAGAAAAAAACTGTATTTGTTTCTTTTGATTTAGCATCATTTGTTTGTAGATGCCACACGGTTTGGTATTTTATATCTAATTATATCTAAGACATTCAAGTGCAACTAAAGCATCCTTTTAGGGGCCGCTCTATATGTTGAGTCTTTATGCACCAAGAGCTTGTAACACTCCAAAGAGAAAGGAAAAATTGAAATCGCATCATATGACCCCTTTAAGTGAAATTGCATGGCCAGCAAACATGATTTTTGTTATGGATCGAGTGCTAAATTATCCCATATCCCATCTGAAAGCTGACCAAACACAACAAACAGTTTTCTGTAAGCCATTCCTCTCTGATGTGACAGTGTGAGTGAAGTCATTTGATCCAGCTACAGGACACTGCCCATTTCATTTATTAGGGACAGCCGTATGACTGTGAGTTTAAATGGCCTCTATTGTCCTGTTGTGCTCCCCACTCTCTCTCTCTCTCTCTCTCTCTCTCTATCTCTCTCTCGCTCGCTCTCTCTCTCTTTCTCTCTCTCTCACACACACACACACACACGATGCGACTCTGTCACTACATGCATGAAGCGTTTTGCTGGATCGTGGAATACAGGGAGATGGACACAAAAAGTTTTAAGTGAGAGATACAGTCGTCATTCCTTGTTGTAACACTCCCACAGATCCATTCATCATCAGCCAATCAGTGTTCAGCAAACAGGTACTGTGACAGATACCACACCTATGACAGGCACCAGCACGTGGAGGAAGGGACGAGAAGGTGGAGAATAGAATCAAAGTTTGTACTGGTGTAAGGAAGACTGTCGCCAATTACAAGGAGAAAAAGAAAGGCAGAGACTGGTTCAAGAATTTGAATGCAATTCATGTGGATTCTTTTGGAAAGGGCACAGAAAGTTTAGATCAGCAAGGGAACAACAAGGACTCGCTGTCTGAGAAGAGGAGAGACGCAGAATAAAGAGTGAGGAGGATGGACAAATGGCTGAATGAAGTCCAGAAGCATCCAGCCCTGTATGTCTTGTGCTGTTCTGTAATCTTCAGGATCCTTCACAGGTTCCTGCAGACTGTGCCCAGTCCCGGGACGGTGGAAGCAGACCCCTGGAGGACGTGGAAATGGAGGAACCTCTCAGTGTCACTCGTCCACTCACTGCTGACTGGCATCTGGGCCGTCGCCTGGTGAGTTGTTGTTTTTTATTCTTCTTTTTTTTTCAGTGATTTGTTTTACAGCAAGAACTTGAAATCACTTTATTTTATGTAATACATATACCTGATCAATATTTTAACATTAAAATATGATTGCATAATTTTAATTCATTTGTAAATTATCATTTTAATTGAGAGGCAAAGTAAGATAATAAAACTAATACATTTTGAATCACATTTGTTGTTGTTGTTGTTTTAGCTATTTTTCTTTTTTGTAAGCATGAAAAAATAAAAATATTGTAAGATTTATGCTTAAACCAGAACAAAAATTGAAACATAAATGTTTAGAATTTTATATGATGTATTCTTCACAACAAGTTCTAATATTTAATACAATTTTGAATTTCAAACAATTTTTAACAATTGTTCTCTTCAATATTTTGTCTTGTAAGAATATTTAAACATCCTTAAAATATGATAATTTATCATATTTTAAGGGTTTAACTATTTTTACAAACCAAAATCTTGAGTAAGACACTGCTGAGGTTTAGTATCTCGAGTAGCGTCAAAGTATATTACAGTTATGTTGATATCTTGATAGCTTGTGTTTATAGTTAGACGTTGCTATAGTTTGTACCAATAGCTGTGTCTACCAATAAACGCAAGTTACTGAATGTTCATGAACCACACTTAACCTTCAGTTACAGATCTCTCAGTTTAGAAAACTGGAAAAACCTGCTCGACAGGCATGAATGAGAGCATGAGAGTGCAACTAACTAAAAAGAAATTACACCATTAGAATTGTCATAGTATGACTCACTTCAGACCTCAACCCAAGCAAGAGTTTCACCATTGTGGGTGTTTTTTTGTTTTTTTTGATCGATCATCAGTGGACTTTTCCACTGTCTTTTGTCAGTTATTAAGCGCAGTATTATTTTGATCTTCTGGTTGATATGATCAACAGTCTGCATGAATCTATGTCCCGACAGCATCATACAGCATCCTGTGATGGTGCATGAAATCCACTCCACCTACACCCCATCAGCATACATGCTAGTCGTCGTCTCATCTGGTCAGTAAACATGTGCAACACAATTAACCTAGACCCTTGACACATGTAGGAAGTTTACAAATGATGTAACTCGTGTCTTATTTATCTGATGCTCATGTTCTCCTGAAACTTCCGGCTGTGTAGGAGCCCCTGTCCCGCCTCTGTGTAACCCTGATCTCCTGATAAGAGTTGAAGCTGTTTTGTGACTCAGGTCTTTGGAATGATGTTGTAGAAAAGAATTAACATCTTAAAGCTATTTTTCTCTCACAGTCTTTGAATAGTTAAAGCTGAAGTTGTTTAATATAAGCTTCCATACATTGCTTTTACATTTGCAAACATATTATGTTGATGAGAGAGGCACCTGCATACTTTAACAGCATGAGGAATGTCAGCATAAATCCAAAAGACAAGAAAGAATGTGACTGAGCATTTGAGAGTAGATGTATATACAATATATATGTATTATACTAAAGTTTTGTCCAGTCAAAAAAAAATGTCAGCATTGATCTCCTTCAACAGGATACTTCATTCAGGATGCTGCTGACATTATCTTTAGTGGGTATGCAAAAGCATCTTGGGAGTTTTTACTTCACCATGTTATGGTAAGTCAATACGTGTTTATCACACAAGGTCATGAAAAATGTTTTAAAAGGTTAGGTGAAGCCATAAAAAGACTATTAGTCAGACCTGGAAAATGTCATCTTGTTCCCAATGAAAAACTTGAGATTCAGGACAAAGTTCTGGAGCAATAGAGTTATTGATTTTGAACACAACATAGACGACATAGAGTGTAATCCTGAAGTGAGGTGTGTGCACTGCCACAGTGATTGACTGCACATTATTCACACTATACTTGAGGAAAATTTACCTTTTGTACTTTGTACTTTTTTTAAATTCCTTGTTTGGCAAGGGCCAAACCTGAAAAAAAGCCATGCAATTCTAGTAGGATAAGACAATGTGCAATAATGACAAACAATCCTGTTGGAAAGACATATACACTGTATAAGTAGCAAAAGCTGAGTTCAAAACACTTGGAAAGTGTTACTCGGTTATCATTCAGATTCATATGTACATATTTGCGAGAGCAAATGAGGTGGAAAACACTACAGACAAAAACAGTGATTTGTCATGCACTGGTAAATATTTGGGTTATTTGACTTTTCATACCATGTTTTAGACAAAAACCTCCAAAATACACTTTTACATTTTTATTTTAGTGCACATTTTTTTATTTGCGTCTGTAGATTTGACTATTTTCAGATTTATGGAGTGATAAAAACAGATATCCAAAATCACTTCTAATAGACCCTTTTCACATTTCCAGGGTTCTCAGAAGTGAAAGTCATCATAGATTGGTAAACTTTTATAGTGGTAAACAGAAACTATAAGAATATTTTCCACCATTTGCTCCAATAGCCAAAGAAAATAAAATCCACGATGGTGCTTCTACGACTTTACAAAAAAGGAGAAAAAAAAATATTAAGAGATGGATTATGTTGGTCAGAAGAAAGTTATCAAATCTTCTGTCACTCTCTTGGCCATTGTATATTAGAAACACTAACCAGCTTTCTGTAATTTAATCCCCAGGTAAGAAAGTTTAGTATTATAAATATGCTTTTTCCCCAATGAAAATATAAAAAACATTGCAAGATTTACAATGTTACTAACTGCATCCTCACAGTCTGTTAAAAGAATGCATTTTTAAAGTAATCAATCATACTGTGATGTATGGCAATAACTATTAGTTGTTGTCAAGGGATAGTTCACCCAAAAATGAAAATTCTGTCATATATTACTCACCCTCATGTCGTTCCAAACCCGTAAGAAAATTAAGCTATTTTGATGAAATCCGAGAGCTTTCTGACCCTGTATAGACAGCAACACAACTGACACGTTCAAGGCCCAGAAAGCTAGTAAGGACATTGTTAAAATGTCTAACTCGGAAGAGAAGAAATTGCTGAATAAAGTCATTCTTGTATTCTTTGTGCACAAAAAGTATTCTCATAGCTTCACAACATGATATCACATGAACTATTTTAACGATGTCCTTACTACCTTTCTGGGCCTTTAACAATGTAGTACCCTTGCTGTCTATGGAGAGTCAAAAAGCTCTCAGATTTCATCAAAATATCTTAATTTGTGTTCTGAAGATGAACAAAAGTCTTATGGGTTTGGAACAACATGAGGGTGAGTAATTAATGACAGAATTTTCATTTTTGGGGTGAACAATCCCTTTAACTGTAAATCTCTGTTCTGTTTCCCTGTAGGTGATCTGGTGTTTCCTGTACGCTGTGTTCACACATCAGTTTGTGGCAGGTGCAGTGGTGGCTTTGTTTGTGGAGGTGAACAGTGTGTTCCTACACACCCGTTTATTGCTCAAGCTGGCTAAGGTGGCCCAGAACTCTTTCATCTACACCATCAACAAACTGTTCAATGTGGTGACCTACGTGACCTTCCGGCTTGGAGCCCAGTTTTACCTCACCTGGTACCTCATACACCACTACTCGTCGCTGGATCATGCCCTCTACTTCCTGATAACCATGATGCTCATGAACATCATGATTCTCATCTATTTCTACCGCCTCCTCCGAACCGACTTCTTCAGCAAGGGGCGGTCTCACAATAGTGGTCATAAATTTGCTGAGGACTAAACCATCAGAGACCGATGTCTATCGGTCCTAAACCAAAGACTGCATTCAAGTGACTGTTAACACAACATTTATACAGAAAATGCCTGTATAGAATGAGCAAACCTCACCAGAGAGTCTGATGTGAATCAGAGACTTTTAAAAAGTTTTCACTTGTTAGAATAAAAATTAAACTCAATAAACAATTTTTTAACTCAACAAGGGTTAAGCCAATCATTTAAGGATCTGTTAGCACAGACGGGTTTTACACTGCAAAAGTGATTTTCTTGCACAGTATCTATTTTCCAGTATAAATATCTAGACATTCTTACATAAAGAAACATTTACTTAAGCAAAAACATGACCTTATTTTAAATGGAATAACTATTCCTGGAATGGAGTAACTCACCCAAAAATAAAAATGCACAAAGATTTACTCATCTTCTGGTTGTCCAAGATGTAGATGAGTTTGTTTCTTCATTGGAACATATTTGGAGAAATTTAGCATTGACTTTCTTTCATGGATCCTCTGCAGTGAATGGGTGCCGTCAGACGGGCAGAATGAGTTTACAGCTGATAAAAACATCACAATATTCTGCCAGTAATCAACACGACTCCAGTCTATTAATTAACGTCTTGTAAAGCAAAAAGGCTGTGTGTTTGTAAGAAACAAATCCATCAAGACATTTTAACTTGTCCCTTCTTTCCAAAATACGAGTCCTCTATCCATAATAATGCTTCCTCCAGGGAAAAAGTCCATTCTCTGTTGTCCTCTCATGTCAAAATCCACTGACATATTTTAGAACGGTTTCGGATTGTTTTCACTTTAAAACGCTGTTTGATCTGTGTATATTTCTCTCCTGATTCACACAAAATGACTTTTTCACTGGAGAAAGCAATGATTGAGGATTTGTATTGAAGCCAGAAGCGTCACTTTGAAATTAAAAATGACTTGATGGATTTACTACAATCACAATTCTCTCCAAATCTGTTTCGATGAGGATACGAACTCATTTATATCTTGCATGTCCTAAGGGCAAGTAGATTTGAGCTAATTTCCATTTTTTCCGTTAACTATTCCTTTAAATATTGTTAAATCTGTTTTTTTTTTTTTTTAAATAAATCAAATTTAACTACCGTAAAAACAGAAAAAAAATATCTGCCAGTGGGCTAAGTTCATACACCATTGGCAGATATTTTTTCAGAAAAAAAAACATATGTAATTTGTGAAATTTTGCTTTTCAGGTAAATGTATATTGATTTTATAATTTTTAGTCATTAATACTGGAAAACAATATAAAACAATACTAAGACAACTTCCAAAGCAGAGGTGATGTTGAACCCACAGGAGGCAGAGTAAACTGACGTCTTAATCTAGGAAATGGCACCATTTGTGATGTACAACCATGTAAATTACTTGATTTAGCCACAATTTATATGAAGCATTTTCCCAAAAATGGTGACTACATGTAAAGTGCGTCAGATTATGCTATGAAGTAATTATATCAAGCTTTGCATCCAAACACAGAAACTACACCAGCCTCATACATTTCTTCTGAGGGAGTACTGGTAAACAATAAATGTGTTAGACGTGATGCTGCCTCAGCAACACATCTACCTCAGTACTGCAACACTTCATTAATTCCCTGAAAACAGTGGTAGGAACAAGATATAGTTCACTGAAAGGATGTTAGCGTTTTTTTTTTTTTTTTTAATAAAGAGTTTAACATGTAAAAAGGTGAATATTGCTTTATTAAAACAGAATATTCATTCTTTCCTTGCCTGTTATGATTATCTACAGGAAAATGCAAAAAATGTCCAACAATACAACTTTGTAATAGGGACAGTGAATTAAGTTTGCATTTTTAATGTAATTCAGGAGTCTTCAACCTTTTTCAGACTAAGAATCCCTTGGTGGAGAGAGCAGGGACCCGCTGTAGAAAACTGCTTTAAGCCTAACCTATAATGTATATTTATTGTCGTTATATTTATTATTACGGTGTTCATAAAGAGCCTGATAAAATAACATTTAGCAACCTTAACTTTGGCTGACATTAACTTAATACTGAAGTTTGAGATAAAAAAAAAAAAAAACTGCTAGTTTTCATTTCTCCCGTAACAATCAACCAAAAAAAAATAAAAATAAAATAAAAATAAAAGCCGTACCAAAAAAACAAACAAAAAAGCTGTACCAAAATTTCATAAAAACTTACTGAACATAAAGGAAGAATCAATTAAATCAATTCATAAATCCATGGTCATTACAGCGCAAAAACTTAAATTCTAAGGTTTAATTACAATAATTCAGACATTTAATACACATCTGCTGTGATTAAAATTTGAATATTAATTTGCTGATGCTCTGGTTTACTTTTATAGTTTCAGTATAATTGAACACTTTTGGGTATATATAAAAAAAAAAAAGCTTAACCAAAATCCTACTCTCAAACCTTATTTTAAATTCCAGAAATGTAAACAAATAAAGCCACAAGAACAAAATTTGTTTTTACAAACATTTATTCTTCTGTACATCTGACCAGGAGCACTTTAGATGATGCCGATCTGCAAGAAAGAAAGATGACAATCAGCACAGGTCAAAGCTCAAATGTTTTGCAAAAGAAAGAAAATACAAAGCATCTCTGGTTCTTTTGAATGCATCATTCAGGCAGAAGCTTAGTTTACATTTGCAGAGGTTGACAATTCCCTCAGCCTCCAATCTAGCTTCATGAATCTGGCAACATCTATTGTTTAATACAAGTATGAACATTTACATTAGGTTCCTCAAATCCAGTCCTGGAGTGTCACTGCCCTGCAGAGTTTAGCTCAAACCCTGATCAAACTCACTCACCTGTGATTTTCCAGGGATCCTGAGACCTTGATGATAAGCTTGCTCAGGTGTGTTTGATTAGGGTTGGCGCTAAACTCAAGGTCCCTGATTTACATTCACTAATTTACCTTGTTTGCAACATCCAAGGCATCGTAATCTGGTGCAAGACGAACGTATGCCTTCTTTTCGCCATCAGGCCTGCAGGGAGCAATAAATAAAATATTCAGAATGCATCACAAATCTGACAATGCATTTCCTCTGTATCAGTGGTTCCTTTGAGAACATTGCATTTCAGAATAATTATTTTTATTGTAATTCAACAATATCTGAAGGCTCCTTATGGCGTTTTTCCACTGCGTGTTACGACTCGGCTCGGCTCAGTACGGCACGGCACGGTTTGCATTTCCACTGCAGTTCAGTACCGCTTTAGAATGGGCGGGATTATTCACATGTCGTTATAGTTGCGCCGCCTCTACTGCCGCGACTCCTAAAAAACTTTTTCATTCCACGTCGCCCCATCAAGCTCTCGCTGGATCCGCTCCTCTGCTATCAACAAGAGGAACGTCTGTTCTTCCTCAACAGAGGGAACAGACAATTTTTGGTTGTTTAAAAAAAAGGTGCGCTCGTTCAAAACAGTTGCGTTCGATCCTTCGCTGGCTGTGCTGATTTAAATCTAGCGGTTCTTTTGTGTTTGTGTCGCAAGTTCAGTGATGCAGGTAGTGACGATTCTCTCCAGCCAATACGTGATCAGCAGAGTTTACACGTCACGTTTTGGTAACGGTACGGTTCACTTGGAACTCCAACCGAGGTGGTACTAAAAAAAGTACCAGGTACCAGGTACTGTACCCAGTGGAAAACCCCCCAAAAGTGAACCATACCGAGCCGTACCATGCAGTGGAAAAGCGCCATTAGATATTTCTATTGAAATCGACAACTACTTGTTTATAAACTTTAACACAAGTTGCAAAATCTTCAATTAAAAACTATTACCCTTTTTACCATTTGTTTATAATACTATACAGTATAAGAAATACACGATTGTTTTTAAGCATTTTGATTTAGATTGTTTTTAATATTAATAATATAATCATTTAAATGTTTTTAGAGAACCAACACTTTAAACGTCTTGATGAATAAAACAAGTTCTACCTGATCAGTGTGTTGACTTTAGCCACATCGATGTCGTAGAGTTTCTTGACAGCGTGTTTAATCTGATGCTTGTTAGCCTTGACGTCAACAATGAACACCAGAGTGTTGTTGTCCTCAATCTTCTTCATGGCTGACTCAGTGGTCAGAGGGAACTTGATGATGGCATAATGGTCCAGCCTGACAGAGCCAGAGAGATATTGATTTTAAATTCAGGCAAGTTCCGTAAAAACTAGAATTATATTTATTCTTTAGCCTCAACCATATCTCAATGGTGAAATGAGGATGCATCAGTGTTTAAAAATTTGTAATCAGATCATTTCATGCTTTGATCGCAACTCCCATCATTTGCATCCTAAAAGAAAAACGTCAAGACTACCTGACATTTGTAAACCATAATTCAACTTAAGTGCAACAAATGCACTCTTGATTTTAAAGTTCATAAAGTACAAGAGTCTCACTTGTTTCTGCGTGGAGCGCTCTTCCTAGGGTACTTAGGCTGCCTCCTCAGACGCAGGGTCTTGGGCCGGTGGAAGGTTGGGGTGGTCCTGATCTTCTTCTTCCTCTGGCTGTGGACACCCTTCAGCACAGCCTTCTTGGCTTTAAGGGCCTTGGACTTGGCCTCAGTCTTAGCCGGTACAGCTGTTGAAAAAAATTATGACCATGCAACATTTACAAATCAGTCTATGAGACATGCAATGAATGCGTATAAAGTTGTCAGTTTTCACGTCCCTAATAAGCATTTAATTGTGTTATAATAAAATATGAGACTTTCACAGGTACGTCATTTGTACCTAGCTATTACCGTGTTTACATTCAGACAGCAGCTATTAAATGCACAAATTTTCACACAAACATAAAAACACTAAGGTTTTAAGGGCTAATTTAAAGACTCTTTTATTCACCAAACTGACTGGTACTGAATGAGAATGGATATGGGTAGCCACGTGTGTGACTAGCTACCGATGACAAGCCATTGAGTTGCCATTTACATTTACTTATATTTTACTCTGTACAATCCACTTAGAACGTAAACAACCAGTTTATGACAACTGGCTAATGGATTTAACCCTTGGGAGAGTCTGATATAATGAGACTGCGAGGGCATGCAGCTCAATTATATTAGCTTGCTAGCCGCGGTTGTGACTAAACTCCGGCACTTCTTGACTAAAAACAATATAATTTCCCTCCAGACGCCTAATTAAAGTTAGAGACAAACATACATATATCAACTACAATTAAGCGAAAACGTAGCTGTATATAATCACAATAAACTTTATTTTGATACCATAAAATCTATAAACCTAACGTACCTTCCTTCTTCGCCTTCGGGGCCATGTTGGGAAAGGAAGAACGAGAGGGGTTTCCTTCAGTATATCGCAGGGGTTCACGTTAACACACGCAGTCATCGCGAGAACACCACTAGGCATTATGGGTCGTGTAGTTCACTTGCGTGCTGTAAATATCGAGCGCAGCCACTGGAGACCGGGGCTTATGTTGAGCACAGTCACGCTGTGAGAACGAAAAGTTACTTTTAAACGATTATTTCAAAAAATGTATCGACTAAATAAAGTTACTGTCAAGTCTAAAACAGGCTCCTTGTAGAATGTAAAAAAAAGCCTTCTACCTTTTAAGGTAAGTTGGATTAAATTTTTTTCAAAAAAAATAAAAT